CCAAATGGTCAAAGCTATGGTTTTTCCAGTAGTCACATATGGATGTGAGAGTGGGATCATAAAAAAGGCTGAGTGTGGAAGAACTGATGCTTTAAAACTGCGGGACTGGAGAAGATTCTTGAGAGTCCTTTGGACTAAAAGGAAATCAAACCAGTCAATCCTAAAGGATATCAACTCTGAATGTTCATTGGAAAGACGGATGCTGAAGCTAAAGCTCCAATATTTTGGCCACCTGATGCGAAAAGCTGACTCATTGGAAAAGACCCTGATGCTGGGAAAGACTGAAAGCAGCAGGAGAAGAGGGCAATAGAGGATGAGACAGTTGGATGGCATCACTGACTGAATGGGCATGAGTTTGAGCAAACTCAGGGAGACAGCGATGGACAGAGAAGCCTGGCGTGCTGCAGTTCACGGGGTCACAAAGAGTGGGACACGACTTTGTGGCTGAAGAACAGCAACGCACATCACGCATTTTGTTAAGTCAGAAGCACCCAGGCTGCTCTTTGCTTCCAGACTGCAGCCTCTCCTTTGCCCCGCTCTTTCTCTGGTCAGGCTTTCCTCTCTGCTTGGAATGGCCTTCCTTCTTCCTCATCCAGCTGTACCTATCAACACTCAACTCCTTCTTGGCCAGCCCAGACACCCGCTTCCTAAAGTCATCCCAAAGTTAAATTCAGCCCTCCAACCATGCATTTTCCTGTTCCCTTTAATGGCACCTAACATGTCAGGTGTTTAATGTTTGCCTCATGGACATTACCCATGACATGCAAGTCTTTAACTCTGTCCCACCTGAACGCCTGCCCTCTACCTCCACTGTGCTGAGCATAGTGGTTACACAAAAGAGATATCGGTTATTGCTTTTGGCTCAATATTTAGTTAGTAGCTACTCATTATAGCAGCACAACATCCTCTTAGGATGGCTCTTAGATGAGATTTCTTAATTCAAACCTAGCCTTACTACTTTCCAGCTACAGGAGTCTTTCCTTGCCTCAGTTTTCTCATTTGTAAATGGTCGTAATAATAAAGCATGCCTTGTTAGATTGTCACAGAATTAGTGATGTGCCATATGGGAAGTGCACAGTGCTTTCTAGGTAAGCATTGCTCACAGACATTAAATAAAAAGAAAACTAGAGCTAAATAAATACATTTTAAAACACACCCTCTAAATCACAAGTTAGAATTCTTTGAAAATAATTATAAGCAATGAAAACTATAAATACTGTAAATATAAATAAATTAAAAAATCAAAAGAGCAATGAAATAAACAAAATGTGATTACAGATACTGAGGCTTATGGTCTTGTTTTCTACCGCATTTATACTTTCTCTTTAGGTAGGGGATCAATTCATTTGGAGAAGGTATGTTGCAGGTGTATCAGGAAGAGCCACACAGATCCTGTGTAAGATATGATCACTTTCCAATCTATTGGCCAAAGCACTGGAAATACTTCTGAACTGAAACAGCCACACTGAACAATGGGGGCTGACATGTCTTATTCAGCTCAACATCTCTGGGCCCCTGAAGTGCCTAAGGTGAAAAGTGGCTCAGGCCAGTCTGCCTTGACACAATGGAGACCTTTCAGATCTGGGCATTTTTCTCCATATGCCACATGTGTATAGAAACAAGCAGTATAAACCAAATGAAGCACTTCACAGCTGGAAACCTCCCAGTGGTTTAGTCACCAGTAAAGAAGAGCCAGAGTCCTTCTACCTCTCAGGCTTCAGGGTCTCACAAGTACTGTCCCATGCCACTCTATCCCCTATCCTTTCTTATCCCACATCTGCTGCTCCCTACTCCATTCCATCCACACTGTCCACTCTGCTATTTTTGGAATCTGACCATCAACACCTGGCCTGGAGCCTTTGAACTTGAAGATTTCCTGCCTGAAATCTCCCCACACATCCCTTTCTCACCTACTGAAGCTCTCTCTCAAACGTTCCCCGTCCAGTGAGGCCCTCCCTGCCCAGATCACAGAGAACTGCATCCCTTCCCCCCACACATCCTCTACAAGGCCCCTCTGCCTGCTTAATACTCTGCTTAATTTTCTGCATAGCACTTTTCACCATCTAAGTGCATGAGAGTGTTAGTTGCACACTGGTGTCTGACTCTTTGCAACCACATTCACTGTAGCCCGCCAGGCTCCTCTGACCATGGGATTCTCCAGGCAAGAATACTGGAGTGGGTAGCCATGCCCATTTCCAGGGGATCTTCCTGACCCTGGGATCAAACCTAGGTCTCTTGCCATTGCAGGCAGATTCTTTACTGTCTGGGCCACCAGGGTAGCCCCTAACCTACTATCTAGTGCTTTTGTTGATGTGGTTCTGGTTTGTATATTGCCTCTTATAATCCAAAGGGAAGTTCCAAAAGAGGAGATAGCTTCACTGTGGTCATTGTTAGCATACTACAACCTACAACAGTTCTTGGCACACACTGAACACTTGATAGATATTTATCAAACAAATGCATACTTACATTGCAGGGTAGCTTATCAACAACCTGAAAAAACTTAAGGGGACTGGGGACTTGCATTCATTGAAATCAAACGAATGACTCTATCGCATATCACTCTATCTTATATTTTGAAGGCTATAGTTTGGAAACTCTATTAATCTGCATCAGTGGTTCTCCAGTCCACTGGTAGTGATTCTGCCCCAGAACATTTGGGAATGTCTGCAAAGGCATATTTGGTTACCACAATAGTGATGGGTGGATGGGTACTACTGATATCTAGTGGATAGAGATCAGGGATGCTGCTCAACTTCCCACAACGCATAGGAGAGTCCCACAGCCAAGAATGATACATCCAGCATTGTCAGAAGTGCTAAGGTTGAGAAACCCTAAATCTGATTTCTGAAGGGCTTCCCCAATGGTTCAAGCAGTAAAGAGTCTGCTTGCAATGCAGGAGACACAGGTTCGATCCCTGAGTCTAGAAGATCCCCTGGAGAATCTGAAGTGAGTTGAATGGCAACCCACTCCAGTAGTCTTGGCTGTAAACTCTGATTTAGCCAGAGGTAACTTCTTAGCTCTAACTCCACAGCATACAGTGACTGTACATTACAAGGGAAGGAGGAAATAAAGTTGGGTTAACTTGTTGGTATTCTAGAAAGACAGAATACACGAAATGTTAATATATGAAACAGAGGGAGTTTAATAAAGATACGAAGTAGTATTCAACCAGCCTTCCCCGGTGGCTCAACGGTAAAGAATTTGCCTGCAATGCAGGAGACCCAGGAGATGCAGGTTTGATCCCTGGCTCAGGAAGATCCCCTGCAGAAGAAAATAGCAATCCACTCCAGTATTCCTGCCTGGAAATTTCCAGGACAGAGGAGCCTGGGGGGCTGTGTCCATGGAGTCGCGAAGAGTCGGACAGCACTGGAATAGCTGAGCGTGAGCATAAGTGTTCACCCTTCAAGGGATCCAATATGCTACTAAGGATTTACCTACTTAAACAAAAGGAGAAATGTCCAAAATATGTTAGCGGGAAAAAGGACACTAAATTCTAAAAAAGAGCCCTGTTTTCCTGTACTTTTAGACCTCCTTAAAAATTGTGCCCCATGTTCTTATCACATAAAGTCTTCCAGGAATAACTGACAAAGTCATAATAAAAAAAAAGGAGGGGAGTCCCAAATCACCGTGTCCTCTCTGAGAGCTGGCATGGCCTGCGGCTGACGGCTCAGAACATTTGGCAGCAGGCGGATCTACAAGGGAACAGCTGCTCTGCCACACTCTTCAAGTCACGTCAGGGATATGAGAATTTGGGGAGAAATTAACCAAGCAATCAAAACGAAAAGAGATACTGAGACAGCGTTCTCCCCTCTGTAAATACCACGTGAGCTGGTCTAATCTCGTGGATAAATTACAGACTGCTCTAACACGTGCTAAGAACTGTGGGGAAATACATCTTTGGGAAGAAAAAAATAAATCCTTCTTGACTGATAAAGGTCATAACAATTCTACTATACATTGTATGAATGACTGGATGAAAAACTGAAATTCCCTCCTCTAGAAGAGTATATAAATGCCCAATTAACAGGCGAATTAAGATCCCAGCTTTCCACATTGGCCCATGTAAAGACATCATGTGGTGCTTTCTCCTCTGAATTTTATAGGGTATTTTTATCATTTAACTTTTAGCTCACTCTGACACATAACCATTTGCTTTTTCTAATATTCATTGATTTATTTATTTGGCTGCTCCAGGTCTTAGCTGTGGCACGCAGGGTCTTTAGTTGTGGCGTGTGAACTCTTACTCGAGGAATGCGGGATCTGGCCCCGTGACCAGGGATGGAACACTGCGCCAAGTGCAGAGTCTTAGCCACTGAACCATGAGGAAAGTCCCCGCATTTACCTTTCAACATATGCTCAGTTGCTCAGTCGCGTCTGACTCTCTGTGACCCCAGGGACCATACGTAGCCCACCAGGCTCCTCTCTCCATGGGATTCTCCAGGCAAGAATACTGGAGTGGGTTGCCACTTCCTTCTCCAAGGGATCTTCCCAACCAGGGATCGAATCTGTGTCTCCTGCATTGCAGGCAGATTCTTTACCACGGAGTCACCTAGGAAGCCTACCTTTTAATGGGACGATCATAACAGTTCTCTTTCTGCAAGACAGGCTCTCTGCTTTCTTCCACAAACTATTTTTGAAGACTGAAAACAAATAAGACTGCCAAAAAGCCCTACCCAGTGGCTCCATGGTAAAGAGCCTGCCTGAACTGCAGGAGATGCAAGATCGATCCCTGGGTCGGGAAGATCCCCTGGAGGAGCAAATAGCAGCCTGTTCCAGTATTCTTGCTGAGAAAATTCCACGGACAGAGGAGCCTGGCGGGCTACAGTCCATAGCGCGCACAGAGCCAGACACGGCCAAAGCAACTTAGCACAGCACAGCACACAGCTGGGGAGGGCTTTCCCCCTCTGCAGACGGACAAAGACAAAGCGATTCTAGATCACAGAAACTTGTCAACTGCAAGATGATTCACATATTGTGTATTAATGAAGGTAACTTACAGACAGCAAGGGAATGGCGACTTTTCCAAGAAAATCAGGAGGTTTGTCTCCATCTTCATCAAACACTGTCACTTCCAAAACATCATGGATATCTTTAATGGGACTGAAATGAGAAACACACCACGAATTAGACACAAAAACACACAAGTGAAGGCTGTTCCATGAAGATCTGAAAACACGTTTTCACTAATTAAGTCTGTATGTCCTCAGAGTATAAAACTACCATTTAATTAAATTCCAAAAATTAAATCAAACTGACTGTATTCCCAAACCTTCCATCAGCGAAGATTCAGACATCCATATGGAAAAAAAAAAGTCAACTTTTTTACTATGACATTTCCATGTATATGTGTACTCAGGGGTAGGACTGTTAAAGAAACAGGATAAAGAAAGAGAACAGGGGACAGAACAAGGATGACAAAGTGACTTCCAGATGAGAAGAGCAAAAATAAGATTTTTTTTTACTTTAAACTAATGAAGAATTCCCTTTAAAAAAACAAAGGTAGTCAAAATCACTATTTCCCAAGATCCCCCGAAAGCATCCTATTGTAGAAGCACAAAATACTAGAAGGCCATGCATATTCACATATTTATAAATTTTTCAATGTTGACCAGAGCCAGACGTCAGCTATAATGAAAACACAGAGCCATGGTCATTGGCAAGGTGTTGACCAAACAAGAAACTCTTGCAAACCTGGTTAGCACAGTCAACCTCTTCTCATAGGTCCTCATAAATGTTCTGCTTGGGAGCTACCAATTCATATTCACAACAAACTATATTATTTTAGTTATAGGCACCGATAAAGCTCCTCAGTGTTGTGAGGCAGTATGCCACCATGTCACCTAGATTCAACAATGGGTGAGCCTCCCTTTGATGGCCAGGTGCCTTGAAATCTAAAGCAACTAGGAAGATATCCAGTTTCCTGAACACCCGAGTCTAAAAAGTGGGCATCACTATAGAGTAGGTCATTCAGACAAGCTGGAATACAAGGGGCCTTGGGGAGTCTTCAAGGAATCACACATAATCTCTATGTTCCAAAAGGCTTTGGCAGAATGCAAGCCCTCCGATTTTAAAATACTGTTGTACAATATAAGCTCCTTTAATTTTAAGACACGGCTACATTTGCAATTTCCTTTAACTCAGGAATGAAATAGTCTCGATATATGGAAGCTTTCTTCTGCTCACAGATTAATTGAGTCACTAAGAGACCTACTTTACAAATGCCTCCTATAACACGCTCTTGCAGTTCCAAACGGTCTCTTCTATTATTAACACTATACTCTATAAAATGAAAGCATAAAAGGTTTTCAGAAGGAGAAAAACAATAAAATTCCTTCTTTGCCCATAAAAATGGACAGAAAATTCCACTCAAGAGCCCTAGAATGCCCTACACATATCAGGGATAATTGGTCTCTGAGTTAAAGCTGCTCTTTGATATTCCAGGGGCTAAAGTACTTACAATGTAAAAACTTTGTTCCACTCAGGGTTGAGGTTTTTGTAAATGGTATGTGTCTGAAGTCGGTCATTTCCTAACTCCAACAAGCAAAAGGGATCGCTCTTCCCTGCAAAGAGAAAATGGACAAGGGTCAGAGACAAAGAAATCTCCATGGTCAGAAGCAAATGAGTCTCAAAAGTGACAGAGGCAAAAATGAACAAAAATCATGCAGGTTTTTTTTTTTAAATTATTCTTCAATCCTAAAGGGAACCAACCCTGAATATTCATTGGAAGGACTGATGCTGAAGTAAAGCTACAATACTTTTGCCATTGTGGGGTGAACAGTGGCTCACTGGAAAAGATCCTGATGCTGGGAAAGACTGAAGGCAGGAGGAGAAGGGAACGACAGAGGATGAGATGGTTGGATGGCATCACTGACTTGATGGACATGAGTTTAAGCAAGCTCCAGGAGTTGGTGATGGATAGGGAAGCCTGGCATGCTGCAGTCCATAGGGTTACAAAGAGTCAGACACAACTGAGTGACTGAACAAAAATAATATTATTTAAAAAATGTTATTTTATGTTGGAGTTGATTTATAATGTTGTATTAGTTTCCATATATCACAGTAATTCAGCTATACATATATCTACTCTTTTATAGAGTCTTTTCCCACTTAGGTTATTATAGAATATTGAGTTCCCTGCACTACACAGCAGGTCCTTCTTGATTATTTTATATGTAACAGTGTATATATGTTAATCCTAAACACCTAATTTATCCCTCCCCTCACCTCAATCCCTTTGGCAACTCTAACTTTGTTTTCTAAGTCTGTGAGTCTGTTCCTGTTTTGTAAATAAGTTCATTTGTACCACTTCTTAAGATTCCACATATTATAGTAATGCTAATAAAGAAAAGACACATGTTTGCCAAGGGGGAAGATGAGAGAAGGATGAAGTGGGAGTTTGGGGGTAGCAGATGCAAAGTATTATACAGAGGATGGATAAACAAGGTACCCGTGTAGAGCACAGAGAAATATATTCAATATCCTGTGATAAACCATAATGGGAAAGAATATGAAAAAGAAGAGTATGAAACAGCATGAAAAAGATGACTATATATATAACCATCACTTTTCTGTGCAGCAGAAATTAATATGGCATTGTAAATCAACTATACTCCAATTAAAAAAAAAAACAACCTGTGGTTGCTGAAAGATCAAAGGTGAGCCTCTCTTTTCAGCAAGCGCTGTAAACTCCGTGTGGGAAAGCCAGGTGTCAGGGAACTTACAGGGCTGGGACTGACATGCAAACCCCTTGAGAGCAGCGGCAACACAGGATTCCCAAGAGCAGGTGCCAACGTGGCACGTGACAGGGCCCGAGGTTGTGTTTTGTTTGAAAACAGAAGCGCATCTCTGTTTCCTTTCTAAATTCTCTGAGGGAATATAATTACTCGTCTACAACTGCAAGTCTATGATAACTGACATGCTTCTATAGGGTGATGAGAGAAATGAGAAAAACTGTAATCATGGCTATTTTGGTGGCTCAACGATAAACAATCTCCCAATCTCTGGGTCAGGGAGATCCCCTGGAGGAGGAAATGGCAACCCACTCCAGTATTCTTGCCTGGAGCATCCCATGGAGAGAGGAGCCTGGCGGGCTACAGTCCCATGGGGTAGCAAGAGTCAGACACAACTTAGCAACTAAATCACCACCACGATGGCTATTTAGCAGTTAAAACTCTGCTCTGGAATTGAGTGGCCAGACACACATCTGATCTTAGATATTCAGTAAATGATGAGAACACACATGGGACACTTTTGGTGTTCAGAGACATGCAGAAGTCTAATTTCACAAGGTAAATTCAACATTTTTTATCTTAAAAAATAACGAGGCTTAACCTTTACTTCTCCCATCTCACTTCTTTTTCTATCCTACCTCATACAGCTTCCAAAAGAAAAAACAAAACAAAACATTAGAAAAACCAGAATCCAAAGGGGAACCCAGAAAGTTACCATGTAAGAAGTCTCCCCTTTTGTTCAGCTTGACAGAGGGATCTAGAGAACCGTCAGGGTCTCTGACATCCATAGGATGTGAACACATGGCTGGACTCTGCACACACAGGCACTCTCTAAAGCAGTGTATACTGAATAAATTGGGGGCATAAAGACAGATGTACCTCCAACAAATGGCCAAGGAATCCAGACCAAGGCCTAACATAGACACTACTCAGGCCACATGACCTACTGGCTTATCATTCAGGTCACTGAAGCTACATCCAATGCTCTTAATAACCAAGGGCCCCGAGGTGCTGCGTGTCCTTAGAGAGACACGTGTGCAGGAACTCGCATGAACATATTTCAAAACCAGAAGACAAGAAGAGCAGCTGCCTGGCTAAGAGTCAGCATTAACAGGAGATTCCATTCAGCTGACTAGTGGCCTGGACACTTATATGACTGGCCAGAGCTTTTAAACCAAGACTATTATCTCAGTGGCCAGTAGACAGGGATTGAGCCGTGGACACAGATGAATGTGTTGGGGTTGTCAGTTACAAGCAGTGGAAAGGATCCCTGTCCAAACTTAACAGAAAAGGAATTTGTCAAAATAATAGCAAACGGCTCTCAGGATCAGTCAATCCTAAAGGAAATCAACCCTGAATATTCATTGGAAGGGCTTTACATTGAGGCTGAAGCTCCAATACTTTGGCCATCTGATGAGAAGAGCTGACTCACTGGGAAAAGATCGAGATGCTGGGAAAGATAGGGCAGAAGAAGGAGGCAGCAGAGGATGAGGTGGCTGGATGGCATCATCAACTCAATGGAGATGAGTTTCAGCAAACTCTGAGAGAGCGTGGAGGACAGAGCAGCCTTGGTGTGCCGTTCATGGGGTCTCAATGAGCCGGACAAGACTAGCGACTAAACAACAACTCAGGATCGGTGCACAGACTGGAAATTCAGGTCTGAAGTTACCGGAAACCAAAGGCTGAGGGATACTCAGGCACAGAATCTCAACCTCTCTTCCCAGGGAAACTGGCCTCACAGAGATTTCTGATCCAGGCCCTAAATGTTAATGTTTAGTAGTTTAGTCATGTCTGACTCTTTGCAGCTCCATGGACTATAGCCCACCAGGCTCCTCTGTCCATGGGATTCTCCAGGCAAGAATATTGGAATGGGTAGCCATTTCCTTCTCCAGGGAATCGTCATGACCCAGGGATTAAACCCGCATCTCCTGCATTGCAAGTGGATTCTTTACTGCTGAGCCACCAGGGGAGCCCCCCTAAATGCAGCTGCTTCTAATATGTATTCTCCAAGCCTGCTCCTTCGCCTCACTTGATGGAGATATAAAGGGACTGCCCTGCCTAGCAAATCCCCATCTCCTAAATTCCAGGGCTCAGAAGGGAGAGCATACTGGCTTCCCACTGAATGAAAGCAAATCAGAACCCCTTCTCCAAAACATACGAGAGAAGTACCCCAATCCTACAAGGGGTTTCAGATGTTGAGCAGCCCAAATCAAACACACACAAATCTATCTTCATTCTAAAAAGTCTTGCTTCTTTAAGAAGTTTTTTACTCAGACATAAAAAAGTGAGATAATGCCATTTGAAGCAACATGATGGCCCTAAGGATTATCATATCATATTAAGCAAAGTCATATAGAGGAGGAGGACAAATACCATATGATATCACTTATATGTGGAATCTGAAAAAATGATACATTTCATAATTTTCCTGTTTCTCATTGTGGCCTTTTCTACCTAGAGAAGGTCCTTTGGTATCTGTTGTAAAGTTGGTTTAAAAAAAGATACACATGAACTTACTTGCCAAACAGAAATAGACTCACGGATATAGAAAGCAAATTTATGGTTACTAAAGGGGATGGAAGTGGGGAGACAAATTAGGAGTTTGGGATTAACAGATACATACTGTTTGTAGGTACGTATGGTGCGTGCTCAGTCGCATCAGACTCTCTGTGACCCCATGGACTGTAGCACGCCAGGCTCCTCTTTCCATGGGATTTTCCCAGCAAGAATACTAGACAGGACTGCCATTTCCTCCTCCAGGAGTTATTCCCAACCAAGGGATTGAACCTGTGCCTCCTGTATTGCATGTGGATTCTCCACCATTGAGTCACCTGGGAAACCTATTCATACTAATGAATTAGATAACCAACAAGGACCTGCTGTACAGCATAGGAACTATACTTAATACTTTGCAATAATCTCTAATAGAAAAGAATCTGAAAAGGAATATAAGTATGTGTGTGTGCGTGTGTGTGTTTAACTGAATCATTTTGCCATGCAGCTGAAACACAACATGGTAAATTAACTATTCTTCAATTTTCTTAGAAAGTCAGGTCTTACTCTGGGGCTGTGTCTCACAGGGTATGGGGTGGGCATTCGGTGGGAGGTACTTGACAATGAAGAAAGTCAAGGCATCTCCTGAATAACTGTGAATTTGAAAGGACCCACATGTTCTTAGCTTAACACTCTGGTAGACTATGCTGAGCTCCACAACCCAAACTGAAACAGCTACTTAACCTTTATTCATGGGACTGTTGGGAGGTGTCAGGGCTGCTCCTCCGGAGACACTGACGTGACATTCTGTCAGCGCTGGCTTGGGGAAAACTGTCTGACACTTGTACTGAAAGCCCTGGGGTTCCCCCCCAGCAGGGCATCAGGAGCCTGGCCTGCACCGGTGAGCTGAGCCCTGCCCACCCCGCTCTCGAGCACACACTCTGCTGTCCCAGGTAATGAGGAACAGACTTCCTTCCAGAAACTGGGAGCTTCAGTTGTGTGTCTCCGAGGACCACACTGCACCGACTCTCTGAAGATAATCCCGTCAAAGCCCATTAAAATGCTGCATTTATTAATATTCCAGGAGAAACAGGCAGAGACGAGGAGGAAGAAGCAAAGACATTAAAACATCTATAGAGTAATGCATGCACACTTTAGGACTGATTTCTTGCCCTTCAAAGATTCCAGATAGACCTTCCCTAGTGTCCCAGTGGTTAACTCTGCCTTCCAATGGAGAGGGTGTGGGTTCAATCCCCAGTCAGGGAACTAAGATCCCATGTACCCCAGGACATGGCCAAAAAAATTAAAAATAAACAGGTAAGTAGATACATTTAAAA